TTATATTTGATTCTTTTTTCTAAAATTTAATTTTTTAAATTGACAAATAAACCTAATTGTTCTTTACATCTTCTAAGTCACCTTTAGAAGCAATATCTCATTTGATCACTGTGACCATCCTCTCAGGTAGTCCCGGCAGATCTAACAGCTGAGGAAAATAAGGTTCCGCATAGGCCAGGGTTTCTCACTGCTGACATTCTGGGCTGGAAAATTCTCAGTTGTGGGATGTTGTCCTGTCCGTTGTAGAATGGACGGTAACAGCATCTCAAGCCTCTACCCACCAGACGCCAGTGGCACTCCACACCCTCACCAGGTGTGACAACCCAGAAAGTCTCCAGACATTGCCAAACGTCTTTGGAGGGGCAAAATCTCTCCCAGTTGAGAATCAGCCGTATAAGCCCATGAGCATGTAGCAAGTAGCAGAGCTAGGACGAGAACCTGGACTTTCCAGCTCCTCAGCACAGAAGCCCAGACCTCGTGATCTTTCTGCCTGTGACAGGTACCCTGTGTTACCGCCAGGATCTCCCAGCTGATAACAGTCTTTGAGCCTCAGTTAATAGTTACCTTCTCTTTTCAGCTCATAATCATTTGCATGAACAAAATGCCTCCTTCCTGGACTACTTAAATAATTCTTTCCTATTTTTCTCCTATAATTCTCCCAAAGAATATTTATATAAACCATACGATGGAGACTGAAAAAGAAATCTACGTACCGCTTTATAAAGTTAGCAAAAAGAATCCGATGTGAGTATCCCAGCCTTCGAATTCTTGCTGTTTCCAGAATTCCTGTGTAGCGAAGCTGTAGCAGAACTTTCTCTTTGTCGTATTTTCTTGCCTGACGCTCATTATTTGGTTTGATGCAACGGACAAAATGCGGTTGGCCCACCACCATTTTAGATAACAAATCCATCAGAGAATACTATAATATGCAACAAAAATAAATTTCCCAATGTAGCATACAAACGCTTATAAGCTTGCAGGTCTTTCTTTTTTACTATAAGAATAAAATTTGAAAAATGAATGTTTCAAATGCTCAAACTAGTCACAATAAATGCAGGGAAATCTGTATGAATGAAAATTTTATTTATAGGATATTTTTTAAAATACAGATTTACTTACAAAAATATAGAGGCAATAACTAGAAACTTAGCTATTAAAAGTTTGCTTAGAAACTCTTAAGGCAACTTTAATAAACAGTTTAATTTATTTTTGATATAGTTTTTTTATAAGTAATTCTATCCCCTCAGGCTAACTTGCCAAATTACAATATTTAGGCACACGGTCTGGTTAATTCTGCTTATATATTAATTTCCTTGTCCAACTCTCTCTTTATAGAAAGTGTAAAAGTGAACACTTTAATCTCTCTCAGAATCATCTCTTTAGTTTAAAGTAGAGAAGTTAATGGAGTTTAATACATAGGACACAGATATAAAAATATCAAAGTGATATACATTTCAATCATCTGTCATAATTTGATCATTTTCTTATTTATTTTAGGAATTTTTTTAACCACATAGATATGAAAACTGTGTTCTACACCAATACCTTATTAAAACAGTAGTCAATTATTGGACAAATAAGTATAACATATTAGGATAATCATGGTTCAACTAAAAGTGGAATCCCAGAAAACTAGTATCTCGAAGCCTAGAATCCCATTTATCGGCGAGGTGACCTATGGGCACAGATAGCTATATATGGCTGGATCTGTTCAGTGCTGAAACGTAAAGCCCACAGTCACAAAGCCAGTGCAAACAAATGCTGCACTTGGGCACCTGGCAAAGCACTGAGTTTGCACGGCTTCCCCTTGGGCATTGAGACTCAGATGTGATCTTTTCACACAGCTGGGTCTGCCACTGTGGAGCCTTTTTCATTGCGTTGATCTGTAAGTCATCATTCCTTTAGTCATGCAAACATCTGCCAGGCACTGGCAACACAAAGCTGCTACTCTGAGCAGAAGCTAACTGCTATTTAGGCACTGGTTTTTTTTTTTAGAGACTAAGGCATAGTGTTAAACTATGTCCGTTCTTCTCTGTAGAATCAAAAATAACTTTCAAAACACACTACATATGGTGTGGAATTATCTTCTACTGTTTTTCGCTTCGGCCTGGAGATGAAAATGATCTCACGTGCTAATCTGGTTTAAACATACACACGATGTTGGATGCCAACAACAGCGGTATGAAAATGGTCTTGGATAACTCACTTAAAGAAAGAAAATAATCTGGCTGTAAATTTTAGTGATTCAACTGTGCTGCATTCCTGATGTAAAGTGAATGTATCAGCAGCAAACGTAAGACATTAAGCATATGAATATACCAGGCACTACCCAAAGATGATTAAGCACACAGTGTCTTCTATGAGCTTAGGACTTGAAAAATACATAATGAAAGTATTCAGATTTTTAAAAAAGTATTTCATGAATCTGTTAGAGAACTGGATATATTCACTGAACACTCATAGTAAATTGAATCCAGTTTCCTCTATTTCTCCCACATTAAATTACATTACTAACAATTCCCAAGTTTTAGGTGATATTGTCTTCATTGCCTGGTTTATCAGAAGAAAGAAACAAGAACTAAAACCAATTATAAGGGCAGGGTTATCTAGAGTTCTCTAGAGCACAGAGAAAATGATGTACTTCTTTCTTTCCTTTCTCCCATACTGTCCAAGGAAGGAAGGTCGTCTTGATCCTATGCTAAGCACACTCCCTTGGCATGTTATTGTGTCTCCCTGGTGACTCTTCTCCTTGCCCCCTTGCTACACTGGGTTCTATTTTCCTTTTCGGGTTTTCAGCTCTGTATGTGCAGGGTTATACAGAATGGAGAAGGATGCTCAACTTTGCCCTCTCTGTCTATCCTAAAATAATTCAGGAGGAAGAAGAAGAATTGGTAGTTATCACAGCATCAAATTAAACACCCTTTTAGGTTTCATTCTAGTGGAAATGCATTTGGTTCTACGGACACATTTTAACCAAGGTATAGACCACCATTAAGATTGACCTGGGATACAATAATTTTACAGGTAAAATATAACCAGTCAAAGTAAATCAAGCCGTAGATTTCTGATAGTACATGCTAACATATCCTGTATCTACCAAAAATGGAATACAATAAACACTCTCTTTTGCTAGTGGCACTCTGATATTTGTTACTAGCTTTTGATCTATAACTCATTTAGAATAAATAACATCCCTAAGCACATTATAATTTAATATCTTACTCTGAAATACGATGCCACTGTTTGTGTTTTCATGTTGGTTGTCTCTCTGGCATGACGTGTGGCGTCTCCAATTTCACCCTAAGAAAAGCAAAGAAGACAGAGATGCTTCAGGACCTATTGTACTTTATGATTTACGGGAGCATGTGGAATTTTACTTTCGGTTATCCTAGTTTATTCATTCCAATACATAAAACAGCAAAATGTTGTTGATATTCTTGCTTTAAGGTAATTGCTTTGTCAGTCTCATTGGAATTTTAATTGGTCTTACATAGAATGTGATTACCTCTGACCCTAGCTGGTACATTTTTAGTTGGTCTGGGTGTAAACTAGCTACAAAAGAAGAGTTAGAAATATATCAGAAGTGCATGATTATTTTGTCACTAGCAGTAACAGGAACATAACATAAATATC